ATGTCGTTGTAAGTGGCTTCAGAGGGGTCGTATATACGGAGGCTATCTGGTCTCACCCGACATGTTCCGGTTTGACATTTAACTATTTTATCCCTTGTCGGTTTCTTTCAGGTCAAATCGACCGCTTGCGTTCCGGATCACGAAGCACCCGGGCACCCGATTGAAGCCACGCGCACCGACTTGTTTGTAAAAGTGACACAGTCGTCACATTTTATGTCAACAGTATTGGTAGAGGGTTATTTTATAATTATCGCTATTAGAGAGACATAAATATTTGTAAGACTCTATTTGTGAGATTAAGCAGAAACATATTATTGTTTCCAGCTTCCTCAGGGAGCCGGGAGAAACCCTAGCCGCGAGAAACCCTAGCCGCCTCTACTGTTCACGCGTGAACAGTGCCGCCGCTACTGTAGCCGCGTGAAGGTTAGGGCTACCGCAGCAGCCGCCCATCCTCCACCACGGCGTCCAGCCGCCGGCAGCGAGGTTCCCAGCCTGCTCCACCTCCCTCTCACCCCTACAGACTCCGTGATCTACGCGGTAGGATCCGTAATCCTATCACAGATGGTTTTGCTAAAGGTCGCGGGTGTAGAAAATCAATGCTACCAGGATAACAATCCTTTTGGTAGCATTTTTTCGTTTAAGTAGACCCGACCATATGTGGTTGGTCTTTATTATACATTCTGGGAGTCAAAAACTTTGCACAGTCATGTTTCCCTGAAAAGTGAAAGTTTTGCAAGTTGCAACTAACCAATTTAGTGGTGGCTGAAAGCACTGCATAGGATTGATAACCTGGTGCTCCACAAATTACTAGACCATTTTTTTTCCTAATAAAGAAAAAATAAAGACAATGTTGGCCTCAAAAAGATAGCCTTATGCAAACTAGTTGATCGTCTATATAATTTCTGTCCCAGACGCAATTATCTTGTATTGCCAATAAACTGTGAGCCTTTGAGGTTTGCGATTTGGAACAAATTTTCTTTTTCCTAACGAGGATAAATTTTACGCATGAGGCATGACTGCCAAAACCAAGTGATCCCACCAAGTCACCAAACCGAAATTAATCCTCATGAGTTGTCTTAAATACTCAAATTTCAGCAGACAATCAAATCAGTAGGAGAGGAGATGAGGTCAACTCACGTCAACGCAGAGGCGACAAGCGAGCTCGATGGCGGCCACGCAATGGCGAGGCTCAGCGGTGGTGGGTGGCGCCTCCGGCTGGAAAGGGAGTCCGTAAGCCCCCCATAGAATCCCGACACCGCTGCATCCCCGGCCGCCCTATCCACGAACAATCACTAGTGAGAAAAAGAGGTGGCGGCGGGGAGTAAAAGAACTCGCGCACATGGTGTTGGGTAGGGTTAGGGTCCGGACTACGGAGGGTCATGACTCGTGAGTTGGTTCACTGACGGAGAGGCGTGTACGATGGGGAGGCGGCGGGAAGAACAGCCCGGCCTCGGCAGCCGACGAGGAGGCGGAGCGACGGGAGGAGAGGAGGTGGAGGCGGCCTGGGTGTGTGTGTGTGGCGGGACAAAGCAGCGGCGCCGCCTGCGATGCCTCCGCTGAAATACGTAGAAATACGTATATGTATTTCAGAGGTATATTCGCGTTTGAATTTGAGCCGTTATCTCTGTCTGCGGCATGTTTGATACTTTGAGCTAAAAATTAGTTAAAATTAACTCTATTATATTTAATGGAAGTGCTAGCGTCCGGACGGACGTTCGTGTCCTGACGTCTAGACGTCCGCGCCTGCACTCCGTTTCACGCGCCTCACACGAGGGCCGCGCCGCCCGAACGTCACCAGCATTGAGAAGAGAGGAAGGCGGTGCCGCTCAATGCCTATGGTTCGTATAGGATGCCCGATCGGCGCTAGGAGGATGAGACATCAAGGCGAGGAGGAGAGAAGGCGAGGAGGAAGGTACAACACTCGATCTAATTTTAAAACATCCAGATGAAACATTTGCAACAAACGTCGGAAGACAGATGAAACACTTGAAACATGTGTCTGAAACACTTGCAAAAAAATGAAAACTGTTGAAAATCATTGCAAAATATACGCAACATCCAGATAAAACACTTGCAACATATATGTGAAACATATGCAACGTCCAGATAAACACACTTACAACATATGTATAAAAAACAGATTAAACATTGGGACTACAAGCTTGCAACATACATGTACAACTATTTCAACATATGCAACACCCCGATCTACTCTTGCAACATCCATATGAAACACTTGCAACGTACCTATAAAACAACTGAAACACTTGAAACATACGCTTGCAACATCCGTTTTTCACCCTTCTTCCGTATGTACGACGCAGCGCATCGGAGGAACGGTCGGTTCCATCCAGCTGGCACCCGAGGATGGTGGCGCGGCCTGGCAGCGCCTAGTTGGGCTTGCGCCTGGCCTGGGCCTGACCAGCGACGACCCCCTTGCCTGGCCGCCTAGCCACACGCGGCGACCAGTGCCCGAGAGAGGAAGAGGTAGTGATGGAAGACGGTTAGCGGCGACTGACGAAGGAGAAAAGCGAGCATGGCGCCGCCAGCCACAAACGTCTGGCCCCGTGCCGTATCAGGGAGACAAGCAGCGCTGTTTTGTTTTCGAGTGGATAGACGAGCTATGGTGTAGGAGAGAAAAGGTAGAGACTGTTGAGCCGTTTGTATGGGTTGGGATCCAATTAAAATAGCATCCGACTGGAAAGAAACCGCTCGGACGCCGGCGCAATAGCATTTTCGTATATTTAAACAGGAGGACTAATAAGTAATTTAATTTTTTGGCTAAGTTTTTAACTTGTTGTTAACCAACTAGCTACTCAAGCACAGCTAATTTAGGTTAAATTTTAGCCCCAACTAGCAACTAGCTATGTGTATCAAATGTATCCTAAATTTTGGTCGGTGAACGGGGCAACAACTATGCCCATATTAAGAACTGCCTTACCGTAGGGGTGAAAATGGACAGAATATTTTTCGTAATTCTCCTCCTTCGGTCCTTCCTCTTTTACTTCCTCTCTAAGGTGTTCTTGGCGTGTGTTTAGTTCTAGGACCGGGCCTGGCCGTTTCACTGGAATTTGGCTTATGCTGATTTATTATGAGAGGAAAACAGTGTTCGTTCGTTGAAAAGTACTGCTGAAGTAGTTCAAGTGAACAGGGCGCATATGGATTGGGTTGACTCTATTCCAGTTTTTTGGATTGAATTCATTCTTTCGTGGTTGGTTACTAGGTTGGGTTTGTCCCTCATTTTCTGTTTGGTTCGACCCGACGATGATAGACTAGTACCATGTCTACCACTGCTGGTTGGAGCCACGAACCGGCAGGGATAATCGACCTATCATTGCCGGTTGTGCTATCACTAACAATTGAAGCCACGAAGCAGCAGTGATGTACTTATCATTGTTGGCTCCACCATAAGTGGTAGTGATGGTCCGGCAGTGATTACATGTTCTGGCGCAGTGTATCTTACTCCTAAGCCAAACAATTATTAAGTTTAACCAAATTTATAGAGAAAAATAGTAACATCTAGCACATAAAAAGGTAAATCATAAAAATACATTATACAATATATTTAATGAAGGAATCCATTTGATATCGTAAGTATATATATTATTATTATTATTTTCTATAAATTTAGTGACTGAAAATCCTTTATGTATCTATCTGTTTCTATCCAATACCTAATAATGTTTATATCTATATATATACCTAATATTAATTAGTACGAAGCATTTTCATGGTCTCTCACTCTCTCACGTGTCTATATAAGTTAGAAATAGAGTAGAGTGTCCAGACACGGTGTAGAGTTTGAAACACCCCCGCACCCCACCCCAAGACGAACCTCTATTGCTTATACGAGTTAGAGTGCGCAAGTCTAGGCGCACAGTATGGTGTCTGATTCCTAAATGAATTGGAATGTGTGCCGCAATTTTATGGAGCTTATTTTGTGTAGTAGGTCTAGATGGAAGCATACATGACACAACGTGAAGGTTTCCTGCATCTAGTGTATGTTGATGTTTTGTATTGGTTATGTGTCGTATGCAGTTGACACCAGGGTTTCTAGGTGCTATGGATGAGATACTGGTAAGGAGTTCTCTACCCCCACTTTATATAGTCTAGGAGGTAGGGTTACAAATAAGTCTCGGTTTATCAGCTTATAGATTAATTTTCTAAATTGTTGCAACAATGATTTTCTAGTTTGTCACAACCGAATGATCGGGTTATCAGTACCTTTGGGTTGATGTCGCCCCTAGTAAGGTGAAGCCACTCACCCTATGTCCATGGGGCGGCTTTGTCCTGCATGACGATCCCCATGGTCCATGTAGTACATCGTCAGTGGTCCTTGATTCTTATGATCGAGTTTGTGATGATTTTGATGGTCTCTGGATCTAAGCTAAGTGCTTAGCCTCCTCCCTTGATCAAGTCTTTTGAATTCCACCTAGTTGAGCCGCTTTCTTCTCTACCCTAATATTAAAAAGCGAATGGTTTCTTATCTCTTTTTATTCCCAAAATGTCTCTGTGCCCTCCGTGTTTCTGTATATGACCTAAACTCACGACCCATGCTCGTGCTCATATGAGTTAGAACAACTCGTGTCTAGCGATAGTACGGAATCTGACTTTAAGATACATTGGACAGAGTTCGGATACATTTGCTAGTGTGTGTGTAGAACCACTGTTATGCGGCTAGCCATAGAATAACTTATTATGTGGCCACCTTGAGTTACGATAGTTACTATGCTAATTTACGAGAACAAAACTTCCATCGTCACTACGTGCATCCATTTAATTAGGACACATACGTACGTACGATCTAACAAAACTAACCATGGTGTGCATCTTATATATCCTCGGTCACCTCAAGATAGATGTGTACAAGTGAATGCATTAATTCATCCCTGGTTCATATATTACAAATCACCAAGTCCCAGCTGCAGCTCTCCTAATTAACGAGATTTCCATTAACAAAGGATCGATCTTTGTCCCATACGTACCCTCTCTCTCACTCATCACAAAATGAAACCACGCACGACGGGATCCATCTCCAGGCTCATAGAGATCATAGTTAATTCAAGAACACGTTTCTCGATCGATGGACAGGGCGGAGCAATTAATGGCGGGCTTAAGAGGATGCTCCGAACGTGTCGAAGATGGTGGTGTGGAGCGGGTCGCTCAAGTGGGTGGCCCAGTTGTTGAGCGGCCCCTTGCCGGTGGCGGCGGCCTGCACGGCGAAGCCGAGGAAGGCGACCATGGCGAGGCGCGCGTGCTTGATCTCCGCCAGCTGTAGCCGCTCCTTCTTCTCCGGGTCGGCCGCCAGGCCGAGCGGGTCGAAAAGTAGAGCCGCCGGGGTACAGCCTCTTCTCCGGGTCGAGCTCGGCGTTGCGCTGGAACTCGATGTAGCCGATCACGAGCACCTCGATCCAGATGAGCGTCGAGATGGAGAACGGCAGCGGCTGGCCCAGGTAGGAGGACCCGTCCACCAGCTCCACCTGCACGCCGGCCGTCACATTAATTCACAGGTTGGTTAGATCGTTGAAGCGCAGAGAACGAACTCCATGGATACATGCATGAAACTATGTAAGCATTACTAGCTATTGACGTACCTTGCCGGCGTCCTGCCAGGTGACGCCGGTGAGCCACTCGACGGAGAGGGCGCCGAGGGTGGCGAGCATGGCCCAGCGGCCGTGGATGAGCTCGCACTCGCGGAACCGCTGGAGGCCGAACACCTCGCTGTAGGGCTGCAACGGGGTGGACTTGACGTCGGAGGACTCGAACCGGGTGCCGATGACGGCGCCGGGCTCATTCTTGGCCAGGTTCTGGTCCAGCGAGTCTAGCTCGAACTGCAGGTACTCCACGGGCTTCCCGAGCCCGAACGGGTCGAACCCGTAGTCGCCGACCAGCGAGCCGTCGAGGTAGTCGGGCGCCACGGCGCCGGGGAACCACAGCGGCCGGTCAGAGGAGGTCTTCGACACCTTCTTCGGGGCAGCAGGCTTTTTCGCCTTTCCGAACCCGAACCGGGCCACGATGCGCCCGTTCTGCGGCGCCGGGTCCGCCAGGCGGGTGCCCAGGAATGTGCTCGCCGCGGCGGCCACTGACGAAGCCATGGCTACTCCTCCTCACCTTTGGTGTGCTGAGGTTGGTGGTGGTGTGTGGTGCGGGGCTCGTCACGGGCTACAAATAGAAAAGTCCTTATAGGAAATTCCGGTGTTATCTCTGGGTGGCAGATCGGACGGCCGTCAGAGGGAAGTGATCTATTTGACGGCCACGATGGGCTCTGCCTTATCCGGGTCTTATCTGTATGATCCAATGGATGCTGCTGGTGGAGGGCCACGGGACACGTGGAGGGCTACGATTGGGAGGGGGGCATTTGGAGTGCCTCTGATTTGTGGTCTTCGGAGTGCCTGTGGCTGGAAAATATCGCTCAAAATAATCTTGGAGATCATGTGGTTTTGAACCCAAAATGTGTGCGAAGCCCTTTCTGTCGCTGACGGTAACCATCACCAAAGGAACCATCATGTCTCTCAGTATAACTGAAAGTCTCAGGTTAGACCGTTAGAGGCAACCAAAGGAACCTTTAAGGATGTTGAATTCTCATGTTAGAGCGTTAGAGGCAACCTAAGGAACCTTTACAGTTATATATATATATATATATATATATATATATATATATAAGGAACCTTTACTGATGTTGCTTCACTGTTGTGGTCTTAAAGGAAATGAGCAAAATGTGCTCCACTAAGTTTTGGGCGTGCATTGTTTCAATTATTCAATATGAGCTGAATTGATGCTAAATTATGTTAAATTCTTAGTTTAATTACTTTAAAAAATCTTAGTTTAAGCTGCGTGTTATTCTATTCATATTCATGCTAGCAAAGTGAAAAAAGTTACAGTTCCTGTCTTCCTAACGCGTGAACCCAGCACAAAATGGTCTAATTCCTTGGACTTTTCCACCTCAGATATTTTCCAGTACTGAGCCCGGCACATACAAATTCAGATAAAGAACCCATCTACTGATTTCATGGTTGCCACAATATATAAGTGAACACACCCTCTCAAATTATCTCCATTAAAATACAAAAGAGAAAACTATATTTCTCTGCTTATGAGTAACATTGGCCCTCCACATACTTCTTCATATACTTTCGGACTGACAGAGAAAATGAATACATTTGATTTGAAGACACATGAGAAAATACAAATATCTGTCCAACAGTAAGAATAATCTGGATCCTTTTGTACGGCAGAATGCTACACCACACGACGAGCAGCCAAAGATGCCTGTGGTGAAAGGGGTATACATTTTGGTAGTTTCTCAACACGGTCCAGATGTTACTGTTAATTCTGTTATCCTGGGAAACTCTCCTCTGCAAAGGGCTGATCTAATGCCTCATGGAATAAAGGTTTCCATCAAATTTTGTGACAGCTTCGTTCGGCTTCGGGGTTTCTGATCTTTCTTCTCTCTTCTTCTTTCCCTGCCAATATAGTTATGTTGGACAAGTTTTACCTCACTGGAATGACAGTCGAAAACAGTATACTTATAGGAAAGATGGACAATACAAAGGGTGGACCATGGAAACCAAGCAATTGACAGTCCTTACTACAAAGAGGAGTGATTTAAGTGGCCAAAAGGGTAACATTTACTGATGAAATCATGTATTTGAAACATTTAATTCAAATAGAAACCTCTCAAATTGCGTAGCAGAGAATCATATGCTGAACACATTTAAACTTAAATGGCAGTAAAGGTGACAAAAAATAACGTGCTCCTGGGATATGACATTACCTATCCACGTATTCCTTGAGAAGTTCCTTGGCTTGAACCAACTTTGAGAGTATGTTACGGTAAACATCAAGGTCCCTATCCACACTTCTTTTACTGACGTTTAGCGCAGTGCAAAGCTATCAATCAAGAAATAAAGTCAGTATCGATTGCCAATGTTAGCGTTGTATAATAGTTAAAGAGCATTTAATTCTGATGTTAACACCAAGCACTACCTACACTGCTCAAATGTTTTGCCGAAATATTTGTTATACTTAGCAAAAAATGGCTTTATCCAAATGTGCTGAAATGTTGTGCACAGTTTTTTTGGTATTACACCAATCTTCGAAGTTCTCAATTGAATAGTGCAGGAAGAGTTAGATAACCTAAATATTAATTCATTTAGCTAGTAAAGCTGCTCTTTCCTCTGGTTATGCAAAGAAAGATAAAATAAGGGAAGCATATGTTCAAAATGACAAGTTATAATTGAATGGCAATCTACCATATTCCCAAGTGCCAGCCAGCAACATTATGAGCAAAAAAGTAACTACAACGACTTACAAGGCTACCATACTGTACTGGGCAGAAGGGCACACTAGCCCATGTCTAGGTCAAATGAGAGTTCAAGAAGGAAACCTAACTTCCATGAGTCTGCCTACACAAATATCTAAATAGGTCCTTAGAGAAAGCTACCAAGCAGATTTATTTGAACCCTAATTGTCATTTTCTACTTCGTTAGAAACATCATAAAACTCAGTTCAATTTCAAACTGGCAATCACATGGTATAAATGGTTAATATATTTGCAATCTCAATCATGGGAGAACAATACTGAACAGGCCACTGTACAAGTGAAAGCTATGCAACGACAACAAGATGTCACAAATTAATTCAAATTATAAGTTGTTCTATGCTTTCTGGCAAGAAACACTCATAGATCCTAAAACAGTTGTGAACACTGAATATTAAATTCGGTTTCAGCCACTGATCTGATGTAGGCTAAACTGTGTTCTTTAAGCAAAAACAAAAGGCAAAAACAGGTCCTTTCTATAAATGTTTTAGGAAATAAAACTATAGGTGAAATAGGAAGCATAATTGAGAACACACACAACAACTAACAAGAAATGCAAAAACAAAAAACTTGACCACATGACAAGAAATGCAAAAACAAATTAACAATGGCAGGAACAACCTTGTCTAGTACTGTTGGCTCCGTTGCATTTGCAAGCTCAAGCAAACGGAACAAGCCAACTGCAAAGAATCGGCTGTAGCTGAAGTTTCCCTTACCCTTGGCCCTTTCTGATATATCTTTCAGAATGGCCACGATTTCTCCATCTCTGGAAGAAAAATCAACTAAGGAACTACTATTCTGGGAACGTGCCCACTCTTCCATCTTTAGTGCATCAGCTCTGTACAGTGGACACAAAGAACATTTAAACAGGATAGATTTAAAATAGAAGTGTTACTTTCTGATGAAAGAAACTTTATAATGCCAAGTTGCCAACTAGTGACCCAAAATACATAACCTTTAATTAATGCCAAGAAAGCATAGCATCTAGTGTAGTGACCCAAAAAAAATGTAGCATTAATTAGCGTCAGAAATATAAAGGAGGTAAAGCAAGTAAGTTAGTACTAAATTTTTTCTTTAATAAGAAACATCTAGGTTCGGGTAAAAATTGAGGTGTAAAATATGTTTCATGCAGAAACATTGACCACTTAGAATTACAACGCCACCTTCAACAAATAAGGGCCTGCTTCAAAATTGCAGTGTTTGTAAACCTTAGGATTCAAAAAACATATTTTAGAGCATTGCAAGAAATACCACAGTTTGCAACCGCTAGTCTGCTACATTATTTACAGTGTTGAGAATTTGGAAATAACTGGAGATTAAATTGTATATGATAAAGTGACTCAAAAGCCAGATACATGAGCTACGAAAAGCACCTGTATTGATCAGGATCTTCATTTAATGCTGTTATATATGCCCTGAAGATGGAATCCCTGTCCTCATTGCTGGGGTACCCTTCCATGAGCTGATCATAGACAGTGACGAAGCCAAGACCAAACACAGGATCATAATGATAGGTTCTTTTGTATCTCATCAGGTGTTGCTGCACCAAAAGTTCTTGTAAGACTGTACTGTAAATGCTTGGGATTGGGCGTTTGTATGACTTAAGGAAGTTCAGCTTTGTTTCTGCCACAGTAGGTGGGACATCTGTACAAGATTATGAACGTATTAGAAAGGTGCAGCGATGACCAATAACTTTCTGTATCTGTACTATGCTAGTTATGTAAACAGGATGTTATACAACGAATCCCCGCATCCGGCTGTTTCTAATCAAAACATATTGGACAATATTTGGATGTACCATGACCCGATAGCAAATACTTGACAGATGGTTTACAATTTGTTTGAGGGTAGACATCAAGAAGTATTATATTAGAACAAAGAGAGAAGCCAAAAGCAACACGAGAACTTCTGGAAGAGATGATTATGCATAAAATATTGAAGTTTTGCAGAAAGAAGCATTTGGCAGTTTTTTTTTTCATCTGCGCCAAAACTTCTAATGGCACCAACCTGTTCTTGTACACCAGTTCGCCTCCTAAGCATCAAAACAAATTATGTTCCATCAAAAAGTGTGGCTAGCAAATTGGAAGCCACACTTTGTCATGCCTAAGGGAATCTTGCCACACTTTTTACTCCATGACATGTGGAGCCCAGAAGAATCTTACCTAAGCTTAGTCGTCAACCAAACACTTGCCAATTTGGTCAAATTTGCCTAAGGTGAAGTGTGGCTAGCTCCCAAACAGAGCCTATATGCGAAGATGGTGATCCCAGAAACCGATTCAAGAAAGGGCCTAATGATTCCAAATCAGATGTCACCAAAAACTTGTATGGACACTAGCGCATCTCCAATTGTTATTTCATAGATCACCTACACAGGATGACAAACGCCTATAAATTAACAGCTCATAATTGTATTCTACACAATTAGGCTTCTTTGAGTGACATGCATCAATCCTCTTTATGTGGAATTCAACACATCAAAGTTCAGTGAACTGCATAACTGCATTTTCTGAGCAGTAGCAGGTAAAGTGGACTAAGATTTTTACCAAGTCTAGTCGACAAAACACATTTCAGCCTTTCAAGAGCTCACCTCCAAAGCTCATTATACCCGGTCTAGCACAGGCAAGGAGTGAAGAGCTGAATCAAGCAACGGATGCATGAATTGGATTGGCAGGATACCATACAGCGAACAAACCCATCACCAACCGAATTGATAGGAAAAGATATTTCGATTTGATTGCTCACGGTAAAGAAAGGTCCGCTGGAACAAAACTATCA